AGTACAAATTGCTTCATGATCTTCTCCCTTATGTAACACCTCTTGAGGGTGTTTAGTTGCATGGCTGTTCAGGAAGGTATTAAGGGCTTAGGCCAAATCTTACTTTGAGTATGTTAAAAAATGCTGCTGGCTTTTCTGAAGACAGGCATTTGAACCTGTCAGTTCGTTTTAAATAAATACAATAGTTGAAAATTTTCCCTCTTTGCTACATCACTAATACAGTCAAAGTAATGGATGAAACCATAATGTACGTGTAAGTCATACACTATATCCGATGCCATTTAGTTTATTCTAGAAATTGGAAAGAATTCATTAAGCAGCAGAGAGGTTTGTTTACATGTTACTTTGGGATGCTAGGTATTTGTGGAGTTAAAAAGAATCAGGTACTTACGTACTTTTGTTTTTAAATCTGTGATGTTCTTTAAATTTAATTCATAATAAATTGATGCAGTTTGATACTTAGGAACATATAATAAGGTAATGTGAACATCTCTGCTTTTGTGTTCAGAGTTTTGGTTTTATAAAACCAGATGGACTTGAAGAGTTGTATAAGCATTTGAACACTGAAATGAAAACTATTTTCTATTTTAGTGTTCATGTATCTTCATTCCTCTTAATTTCATGAAAATTTTATGATCTGAATTATATAAGCATACTAAAGAATCTTTTGGTCCCCACCCCCCTTTTTACATAGATCATTATTTTTGTCCTAATAACTTTTTAATTTTTCATTATCAAGGGCATTTGCTGAACTTGAAGATGTATAACAAATTAAAATCTGATGTGAATGATATTAATGCTATTTTAGCAAACTGGGCTTCCTTGTTAATAACAAAAATTTCAATTTCCATTTGTATCATTTCAATATGCAGTGTAAATTTCAGGAAGTTAAAAATTTTTTTATAACCATGAACTGACATCTTACAATGTTATCTGTAACATATTTAACTGCTAAGTACATATGGAAAATACTAGTATACAATTTAATTTCCTTAAACAGTTTTTGTTTTGCCAAAATTTTATTTTTCTACATATTTAGATTGTGTTCTGCACTTCTATTCAAAGTTCATAGCAAAGATGAAATAAAGGCAGTGATCCACTATGTTGAATAGACTCTTTTCCCAAATCCTAATCTGACACTGGGCTATCTTGAAGCATAAAGAATTAAAAACAAATACTAATGTATATGACATTATGTGATAGAGGGTGACCAGTCTTCAAAAGGGCTAAATTATGCCATAGAAAGCACCACTGCTCAATAAATTTTGCCATGACATGACAGAGGTTACTGATGAACATCATTCAGTGGAGGTGAGAATGTGAGAATACCATTTAGCAGATTTGACCGAAGACAAGAGGCTTTCAGGGTGCCGGTCCCCCCTCCTCCCTTCAGGTAAGAAATTATTATATACCAGTTGAGGCTACACAGAACCCACAGAGACCAAACCAGCTTCTGAAGAAGGCTGTTTTGGAGAACTCAGGGCCTTCTACCTTTCAAACCCAAGATAGAAAACCAGGCCTACAGGCAGGATTTATTATGTCTTAATTCATACACTCAAGTGGCAATGAGAAACCAAGGATGTGGGCTACCTCTCACCTTCTCTCTTTTCCCATCCTTGTCCTGTGCTGGGCTAGACAGGCTCACTATGCCTGAAACGAAGAAACAGGCAAAGAATGAGGCTCAGAGACAGATTCACATTGTTACTTCATTTCAGTGACACTCACTCACCACCACCAAACTGAGCCCAGTGAATGGGTAACAGGCACTACATAATTTCTGATTTCATCAGATTTATTGTTTGTCTTCCCAGGAAAGCAGCTACAAGTGGCAGTTAAGGCTCAGAGAGTTAATAAAACCTTTTAACTTCACAGCCTTCAGTTAATCACCTGCCTTCTATCTTTAAAAACTAGATAGGGTGGTTATGTGTCAAAATACCATTAGGCAGTACGGCTTCCATTAAAAATGACCCCTGACTGGTAAGTTCATCTGGACTTCAGGAAATCTCCAGATACTGATAATAAATCATAACTTCATGTCCCTTCTGAGTTCCCTGAGCTGTGACCTGGGGAGATGATAGTTCTGGAGCTGTGTGAACGCTCTGCTACACAGACGCCTGTTGTAAGGCCATCTTCTGAAATGTAAGGAGTCCTGACATTGACTTTGCTGGTCAGCTGTGGTTCCTATCTTATTAAGCCTTCTGAGTAAGCCTATTACGGACTTTTTGAGTCTGAATGTTTGTTGAACCCTGGTGGATATACTGCAGAAGTCAAAAATCTTCTCATTTAAATATGTGGATGAGAGAACAAAGGTTGTCTTATAAACACTCCCCAGTTTTTTTAATGTGTTGAACTTAAAAGCCAAACTTAAGGTAAACTGTCTCAAGGAAAAAGCCCAGACTGTATCAGAGAAGCCTTCTACGTTTATGAGGCTCCTTTTTACCGACTGTATACTCCTCATCACAGACAAAACAGTTTACTGTTCTGGGCAGTGCAATGGGTCAGAACAGGGTATTTATTAAAATAATTTCATGGCCCCTGCTAAAGTAACCCACCTCTCCTATTTTTTCATCCCAATAAACTTAAGGTACAATAATGCCTAGGCACACATAGTCCAAAACAGGTTGTATGGTGAACACATGAAATGAAATAAATACCCCTCAAATAATGTAGAAGCAAAAAGGTACAACTCAAAAAGTGGCATCTCCTAAATTCCAAATTTTCTCTCCCAAATCTCGATCAAGGAGAACACAATCAGATAATTACATTTAAAATACTTACTGATACAGTATATCCTTTATGTATTCTTTTTCATCCTCACAACTCCTAAGGTTGGTGTGTTTTTGCTTTTTCTTTGTTGTAATGATGCTTATTTTACAGATAAGTGAGTCATTTTTACAAAGTCCAGAGCTAGTTCACAGTCTATGATTAAACACTCAGTTGGGGAAATTTTGCTAGTAAGTTAACTGAGAGCTTTCAGATTTTTTATAGAGTAGCCACTTTCCAAATCTAGATTTATTCTCAATCCTCGAAGTAAACATATCCACAAGGTGAGGTAATTATAATCACCAGTGGGTGATTATAATTATATATATAATTATACAAACACCCATGTTTACAAGACAGACGACAAACTTCTGTTCACATGCATGTGGGGAAATAAGCATCTCAAACTAGCGGTTATATCTGGAACAAACAGTTAAGTAGGGACTGCACAGGAGAATAATGGGGTCCTAGGGTTTGTTCCAGAACTAATAGGTCTCACTGTGAGTGAGGAAATGCCAGCAACCAGTTTGAGACCTGGTGAATCAGACTCCTGGGAATTCAAAAGGAAGACAAAAGTGCAAACAATCAATCTTAGGAATGTACCACATCTTGGAGAAGGGAGCTAGCTATCCCTTAGTTTAAAAGGGGAAAAAAGGAAAAAAAAAAAGGGAAGATAACAGCTCTATAAATTGGATGTTGATATAACCTGTACCCAATGTGCATAGGAGTCAAAGACTGGAACAGCCTAAATGACCTTCAGTGAATGGTTAAATAAACGGGTACACTTATACAGTGAAATATAATCAACAGTACAAACGAATCAACTACTGACTATATTTAGATGGATCTCAAAGGAATGATGTCAAATGAAAAAGGCCAATTCTCAAAAGGTCACATAATCTGATTCCATTTATTTAACATTCCTGAAATTAGTGGTTACTAAGATTAGGGATAGTGGTAGGGAGGGAAAGTGGATGGGTGTGCCCTAGGGATATATATGATTTGGTGGAACAGCTATATCTTGATTGTAGTGGCAATTAAAAAAAAAAAACCTACATGTGACAAAATTACATAGAACACACATACACAAGTGAGAGCATTTAGAAGTAAAATCTGAGTAAGATCTATGGGCTATACCAATTACCTGGTTTTGATAGTGTACTGTAGTTACAGGTTTACCTCTGGGACCTCTACCTTTTTTTCCCCCAACTTCCTATGAATCTGTAATGATTTCAAAGCAAAAAAGATTTTTTAAAGCACTATAAAATATCAGAAGACAGACTCTACCCATAAAAGGCTTTATTACTGAAAGATACCTCATTTCACAAAAACTACTTCATAGAGGTTATTCTTGAACAAATTCAAACCCTTCACTTCCCATTTGATTACCTGGTACTGCTGGTAATGCAAAACACACACACAAATCACCAGAAAATAATGAAAGTCACTCTATAGAGAAAATTGAGAAATTTCAGATGGATGAAGATGCTCAGAACAGAAAAAAACTATTAACACAATATACTAATGAGGTAAGTGTAAATATAGACACCAAAAAAAAAAAATCAAATTAGAAATTCAAAAACTCAGAACTGGACAAACTACATGAAAATGTGAAATGCCTGCTGATTGAAATCAGGGAAGAAAATGGAAGAAGACAAACATCTCAAAATTGAAGACAAATTCAAAGAGCCAAGAAAATGAAACTGAGAGGTAAAAAGAAAAAACAGAAATGATAAAAAAAATTAGGCAAAGAAGATTTAATATACATAGAAGTAATCAGAGTCACTGAAAATAAGATGGAACAGTGTTTCTCAAAGTGGGGTAAGGCAAATCTGGTATGAGGGACAATCTAACTGGACTGGCCTCTTCAAAAAGTCAATGAATGGTGGGATTTAAAAGGTAAGAACTCTTCTAGATTTTTAAAAACTAAGGCAGAAAATCAAATACAATGTATGATTGATTAAATCCTGGTTTTTAAAAGTGTAAGACATTCCTGGGACATTTGAGAAAATATGAATACAGCTGGTATTAGAAGATGATTTTTAAAAAATTACTGTTAACTTTTTGTTGTACTAATGGGTTTTTCTTTTGAAGGATGTCCTTATTCTGAGACAATGCATGCTGAGATATTTAGGGATGAAGTATGTCGTCTACAATTTCAAAAGTTTAGAAATACATATATATGAAAATATACACACATAACAGTAAAATAAAGCAGATTAGCAATTGGAGATGAGTCCAGGACTTTCAGTTTTATTTTCGAAAATATACATGATAACAGAAACAGCCCACACCCGCACAGTTCACTGTTAACATTACAATTCGCAAATCCTTTGGGGAAAACCCACCTATGCATGCACTCTTGATTTATCTAAGTGACATTCAAGATAATCCTTTTTATAAAACAGTTCTGCAGTGGTGGCATCCCAGCCTCAAGTAATACTGTCCTGCCTATTTAAAACATCTTCATTTCTATTTCAACCTTTAATTCTGTGTTCCTTTCACCATATTAGGGAAGAGAATCTGGGCTTTGTCTAGTGACAGAATCAATTCACTCGTGAGACTATGTCACATTAAAAAAAAAAAAAAAAAAAAATCACTCCATTTTCCATCCTCTCCTGACAAGGTTTTTCCTTATGCAGGTTGGTTCCAAGATCCATCACTTAACTACTTTATACCAAGAACCCGCAACATCCTAACCTCCTAATTTTCACTGCACCTTCTCTGCAAGATCTCAGCTTTGCATCAGTCCAATGTGACAATGCACACCCCCAATGAAACCTCTTCCACAAAGCTTTTTCTTGATCTCCCATTCTGATGTGATCCATCCTCCTTAGAAATCTTATACCCCTTTGTATTGCTGGTGTCCTAAATGTGCAGTATCTCTGCCTCTGAGCCAGGGAGAAGTTTCTACCAATCTTTTTGTAATTATTTCTTTTGTTATCTGTGAAGAAACTTAGAATATTGTATATTTAAATAAAGGAACGGAGAAAAGAGCCATAGAACAGTTACAGTTTATGTATTATCTTTGTAATCTGATGAAAAGGCAATGTTTCTTAGATATTTCATGTGCTTTCTTCTCTGAAAAATTCTCAATTCTTGTCACTGAAACCTGTAAGCAACTGAGCAGCTTCTGTCTGTATCTAAAATGGAAAAACACGTTATAAATAAATAGTACAGCATAGCCATCAACTTGCAAAGTCTATTAAGTTCATAAAGTGGGCTGTGGTTTCTAAGTGTCCCCCAAAACCAGGATAGCACATTGTAAAAATAAAACTGAACAGGGACTGGGTAAGACTCTTAGAGAATTCTTCCACATTAATACACATTGTTGTCCACAATAGCCAAACTGTGGAAAGAGCCAAGATGCCCATCGACAGATGAATGGATAAAGAAGATGTGGTATATATACACAATGGAATATTATGCAGCCATCAAAAGGAATGAGATCTTGCCATTTGCAACGACGTGGATGGAACTGGAGGGTGTTATGCTGAGTGAAATAAGTCAATCAGAGAAAGACATGTATCACATGATCTCACTGATATGAGGAATTCTTAATCTCAGGAAACAAACTGAGTGTTACTGGAGTGGTTGGGGGTGGGAGGGATGGGATGGCTGGGTGATAGACATTGGGGAGGGTATGTGCTACGGTGAGCGCTGTGAATTGTGCAAGACTGTTGAATCACAGATCTGTACTTCTGAAACAAATAACGCAACATATTTTAAGAAAAAAGGAAAAGAAGAAGATAACAGGAGAGGAAGAAAAGGGGAGTATGTCAGAGGGGGAGACGAACCATGAGAGATGATGGACTCTGAAAAACAAACTGAGGGTTCTAGAGGGTAGGGGGGTGGGGGGATGGGTTAGCCTGGTGATGGGTATTGAGGAGGGCACGTTTTGCATGGTGCACTGGGTGTTATGAACAAACAATGAATCATGGAACACTGCATCAAAAACTAATGATGTAATATATGGTGATTAACATAACAATAAAAAAATTAAAAAAAAAATACACGTTGGCCTTTTTAGAAATCTTATTTATCTGCCATGTATGTCAAACAGGAATAAGGGAGCAAGTAATTCATAACATCTGTTGACAGTAACTAAACACTTGCTATACAGAAATTAACAGAAATGTTAATGAGTTCAATTTGAAATGAACACTGTTTTCAACAATATACATTTAGACAAATTATACTTTTAAAGAAGTTCTTAATTCACCTTTAATAGTGCACCTCAGTAGAAACCTATCTGCCTTAATTTATTGGAGATACTTCACCTGTTTATCCTCCTCTGTGTGTGCTGGATAGTCCTTGGCTTTCATTAGCCAGAAGGCAGCAAGCTTTTTATTGTGTAACTTCAAATATGTCTTTCCTAAAAGAAGCAAGTTTTTGCTGTAGAAGTTTGGATCCACTGTACATAAGAAAGAAAAATTTATTTCAGATGAAACAGAACTGTTTTTATTTTTAAAGGCTGAGTTTCTTCAGTCTAAATTCTAATAATAAATTTGTGGTCAATAGAAGATTAGGCTAACTAAAATTCTCTTTTGTTCAACTATTCCAGTCTCAAAAAAATATTGGTAAAGTACCATTTATTCAGTGCTATGTGCTAGGCATTCTATTACATTTCTCATTTTCACACAATTTTATAAAATAGGTACTCCATTTAATAGATGAGAAACTGAGGTTCCTGATAGAATGTATGCTTTATAAGGATAGGGGTTCTCTTTTTATTAATGTCTTTTATTCCCTGCTATATCCTAAATACCTAGAACATAACATGCACCCAATACATATATGCTGTATGAATGAATGAAATCATGATATATATGCATTTGACCTTTGAACAACCCAGTTTTGAACTGTGCAGGTCCAAATAAATGCAGTTTTTTTTTTCCATAAATACAGTAAGTGCTGTAATTGTATTTTTTCTTATTAACATTTTATTTTCTCTAGCTTACTGTATTGTTGGAATACAGTTTATAATACATAGAACATACAAAATACATTTTATTTTAAACAACTGTTTATGTTTTCAGTAAGCTCCAGTCAATAGTAGACTATTTAAGTAGTTAACTTTTAGGGGAGCCAAAAGTTAATTATATGCAGATTTTCAACTATGCAGGGGGTCGGGACTCCTACCCCCTCATTGTTTAAGGGTCAAGTGTACATACATACATTTAATTAACATTTACTGAATGTGGGTTATACTTAAATACAGATTCAACAAAGACTGTTCTTTTGGAATTTGTAATGAAGAGGAGAGGCAAACGAACATAACTAAATGTAAAAGAAGAATGAAAGGAATGCTTTGACAGGTGTACACATTTTAAAGTACACATTTATGAGAAAACAAAGAGAAACTAACTCTAAGAAGTTACATCTGGGCTGCTTTGGCAGCTGAATAGGATTTTAACAGAAGAGTGGAGAACATTCTTGGCTTAGAGAAAACTGAACAAAAAGCCTATGAAAGCATGGGACTGTCTCACTAACTTCATTAATTCTTTATACAGATTCCTATCATCAACCTGGGACCTTCTATATTTAAAGCACACTTTTCCCTGGATATAATTTATGGTTAACTCCATTTGCTTCTTAACCCAAAATTGTTTTACTTGTTTAATTTGAACATATTTATGAGATGTTGTGTAGATGTACTTAAGGTTTCCTTGGGGTTCATCCATTCATCTGTTTATTCAGTGATTCAGCAAATTTGATAGCATTATGCTAAGCACTAAGGAACAAATTGTGAACAAAATGACAAAGCCCGCATCATTCCCGAATTTAGTCTTAGACACGTAAACAATACAACTCACATACTCATACTATGGAGTGATAAGGGCTATGATGGGAGAAGTAACAGGTACTAAGGGCCTAGGAGGAGCTTCTAAACCAGATATGGTCCATAAAGAAAGACCGCCTGGAGGAACTGACCTATAGGGTAAAAACCTGGAGGATGACTGGAATTAACTGACCATGTTTTTCTCAACACCCCAAACCCTCAATTCTCTAAGGCCCTATTTTTACTTTGCAATTATGCTCCTAAATCCCTTTGAGGAAACTTTATTCCCAGATTCATATTCATGATATAAAAGCTATTACCACAACCAGTTAGCAGTGGAAGGCAGTAACAGCAAATCAGAGTATTACATAGTTTAACATTCAGACACAATTCTTTAGAAGAAATTAAAAACAAAAACAAAAACGCTTTGCTATCCTAAAAGCATCTGAACAAGTCCTTATGAGTAGGCTCTCTAATACATAGTCTTTAATTTTCATCTAATTTTATAGAAATAGAATTGCAATGGGTTTTTTTTGGGTGTATTTGGTAACATATGCTTATGTCCTTTACTCTTCTAGTTTGTGCTATTAATATTAAAAAGGATGAACTTAGGATGGGCTGGTGTCAGTTTTGTAGACTGGCCATTTCTTCAAAGCCAGGGAGACATGAAACTCTTCATAAAAGAAGACAATATTTGCAACAAAGCAAAAACTGGCCTGGTTTAAAAACAAGATTTCTCATTTAAAAGCTTTTTGAAGAGAAAGGGTAAATCTTAGAAAAAAAAATTTGTTTAAATGTAATGTGACAGGTATTAACTACTTATTATAATCATTTTACATGTGCAAATATTGAATCCTTACGCTATACACCTGAAACTAATGTTATATGTCAATTATATATCTCAAAAAAAATTTTAAACATTTAAATAAATGTTTCTCATCAGCTGTGTAATCTTAAATTAAGACCATTAACTTGTCAAAGCCTCCTCTCAAAAAAGAAAGTTGACATCAAATAAAGGACCATTCCAGAACTGTAGCTCTAAATTCAGTAGCAGCCTACTTCTTACTCTGGTGATTTTTAGTGAATAAAGACTAAAAACTGATAATCTCTAGTGCAAAAAGAAGTATATTAGAATAAGTAACATTTTTGTTTTAAAAATTCCTATTATATCAGGGCGCCTATATGGCTCAGCCAGTTGAGCGTCTGCTTTGGCTTAGGTCATGATCCTGGGGTGCTGGGATTGAGCCCCACATTGGGCTCCCTGCTCAGTGGGGAGTCTGCTTCTCCCTCTGCCTCCCCCCACTTGTGCTCATACTCTCTCTCTCAAATAAATAAAAATAAAATCTTAAAAAAAATAAAAATTCCTATTATATATAAAGCATTCACACAATTTTAAGTATACTAGTATGTGAAATAGAAAAATGTTACCTTGCTCTGCCCTGTGAAAGTAGCCTAATGCCTGTTAAAAACACAAAGAGCCCAAACATAATGAAAAGGGTTATAACAGAATCAATATTAAAAAAACATTTCCTCAAAAGTCAGGAAGTAAATTAAAACATCTTAAAGGTCAATTCATCAACAGTGAAAGTTAACACAGCAAAATTGAACATTATTAAATCACCAAAGCACAAATTACAGTATATGGACCACTTCTAGTAATAACTTGATTGCTATTTAGAACTTGTACCAAACCAGCATCAAGTGCAGAGAGGAAAGAACATTATCACATGCAACTCAGCTATTTTGATTCTTCTCTCAAGTCATGAGTCACTATCCATAAAAACTTGATAAAATCAAAAGCTAAATTTACTCAGTGATACATAGGTTGTACCAATAAATTTTTTAAAAGTCCTTTATTATTGAAATTCCAACATAAAATGTTATTGTGAGTCTGAAACTCTTAGTTCTTTTTTGTCCCATTTAAACTATTTTTATAATGTACTGATTTCCTAGAAACATAACTAATTTGTTATAGGAGAGCTGACTGTATTTTTTTTCCTTAGAATACATTCTTTTAATAACAATATATATTTCCCAACTGTGTTCTGATTATTCAACTAAGTATTTTTGTATCAAATTCTACACCATAGCCTGCCAGAAGGAAAAAATATCTCCTTGTCATGACACAGGAACTAGGAAAGCTTTTTCAACAGCCTTATTTCCTTACTCTGAAACTTTTAGTGGTGTAAGTTACCCAAAATGTTTGCCCAGAAATCCCTTCCAAATTTTATTTTCAACAAGAAAGCAAAGGGCCTTGAAAATATGAGTATAAGCCTTTCAACCCCACTTTCTAAAAAAAGTTATAGGGGCACCTGGGTGGCTCAGTCGTTAAGCGTCTGCCTTCGGCTCAGGTCATGGTCCCAGGGTCCTGGGATCGAGCCCTGCATCAGGCTCCCTGCTCGGCGGGAAGCCGGCTTCTCCCTCTCCCACTCCCCCTGCTTGTGTTCCCTCTCTCGCTGTGTCTCTCTCTGTCAAATTAATAAAAAATTTTAAAAAAATTTAAAAAAGTTATAATTACTCTTCCTTTATCTATACAAATACATGATTTTCCAGGTAAATGACTGTTAGTGTGTAAAACACATATCTAAAACTAATGCTGAGTAATAGTTGTTGAATTTCTATTTTATGACTTTTATATGGCGTAGATTTCAAACAGGAAACAACATTAGATTTTAGGCATGAGCTATTATAGCTGACAATATACCAGAATCATCAGACACTCACCTAAAAAAAAAAAACAAAAAACCACTCCCAGTCATAGATTATAAGTATTAAGCCTTTGTGATAAGATAGCTGCACTGGATGGTTAGAAACATGCTCAAAGGCCTCACTGCCCAGAGCTCCAGATCTGGACACTGTAGAATGGCACTGCAGTTACAAAATCAGTACTAACTTAACAAAGGACAGCACACTACCTCCTCATAGGTGGAACTAGGAGGAGTTGCAAACAGCATTTTTGCAATTCTTCTTTGATACCAAGGTATCTCAGCAAATGTGTAACACCTATAAAGAAATAACATATACATCTCAATTGCACCTTTTTTTCTCTTACAGAAAACTAAGCATCTTAACAGATATAAAAGGTATTTTCTTCTGTTATACCTTTAAACAATTTGCACTTTACATAATATCCAGCAGGTTAATATTCCCACTGAATTATCTAGAGACTGATTTATATCGATCCATCAATTAGGATGTGTTCTATGATTAGATACAAGTAGTAAGCAACAATATTAGTAATGATTAACAGTATATATCATTCATCACTAAGTGCTCACTCTGTTCCAGGTGCTCAGTGATTATCTCTCATCTACTCCTTACAAGGAACTAAATGAGTTAGGTTCATTACCCCTATTTTTTTCGGTAAGAAAAACTAACTCAGAGAAGTTAAAAAAAATTAAAAAACTAAACATGATATGTATAAATAACAATGGCAAACAATTTAAGTCTGCCTATATAAAAGAGTGAGGCAAATGATTAACATCCAAAGATCCTGACAACTTTCTGATATAGGTAGGGGTACTGCATCTTTGACTAGAGTCTGAACTCCCTGAGGTGGCCATTGTATCTTATTCATGTTTCTTCCCTAGCACTGTCTCTCCATTATCATTAGTTCTCAGTAAGCATTTTGTTAGTTTAATACTGTCCTTTGTCCTGAAGGATATTTAACTCCTTTTTAAGAATCTGATACAGGGCTGTCTACGCCATTTATTTGTAAGACAATAAAATACTCAGGTCTGCAGCCTACAGCCAAAGAAAATAGCAGCAAACCTGTCTCAAGAAAGACTCTTAAGGGGCGCCTGGGTGGCTCAGTCGTTAGGTGTCTAACGCTAACATTGGACGTTAAGTCTAACGTTAAGTATCTGCCTTCGGCTCAGGTCATGATCCCAGGGTCCTGGGATCGAGCCCCGCATCGGGCTCCCTGCTTGGCAGGGAGTCTGCTTCTCTCCCTCTGCTGCTCCCCCTGCTTGTGCTCTCTCTCTCTCTCACTCACTCTCAAATAAATAATCTTTAAAAAAAAAAAAAAAGACTCTTAAATCAGCAAGCATTTAAACACATTAGTGTATGCTCATACCAGCAAAATGTCATACACTAAACAAATGGAAAGATACTGAAAGTCAGATTATATTATTCCTCAGATGAATCAGACTGAATCTGAGACACCTTGAAGATGTAAAGACCCTCTTAGGGCATCGAACTTGTATTGCTATATAGTTAGATTAATCCAATTTCATTTAGACTGGTAAGTAAGAACAGTCTTTCCCAACAAAGGGAATTTCAAAGTCTAGCAAAAGTTTTAATGCCTTTTTCATTTTAATATATATTTCTAAATGATCTGAATAACAATGGTTAACATGATCACAATCAAATTTAGTGTTACATCACAACTGCTAGTTAATATAATAAACACTCATGAATGCCAAATAGTTTTAAATACTTTACATCTTGTTTTATATACTACAAAATAAGATCATACTGACTACAACTGAAATATTTAAAGAAAATGTTCTTACCAAATACCCATAAGGTGAATTGAGGTAGCATCTTTTGGGTTCAGTTCAATTGCTTTCTAACAAGAAATGAGAAAGTCAATCTATTTGTTTTCTAAACACAAGTTAAGTACTATGTTTGAAGAAAACAAAAGTCATGATTTAAAAAAAACATTTTGGTGGGGCGCCTGGGTGGCTCAGTCGTTAGGCGTCTACCTTCAGCTCAGGTCATGATCCCAGGGTCCTGGGATCGAGCCCCGCATCGGGCTCCCTGCTCAGCCGGGAGTCGGCTTCTCCCTCTCCCACTCCCCCTGCTTGTGTTCCTTCTCTCGCTGTGTCTCTCTCTGTCACATAAATAAAATCTTTAAAAAAAAATGGTATTTAACACAGTAATATCTTCTATAACCAGCATAATTTTACTTTTCAAAAGTACCAATTTATTACTGACCCTGATCTAATGTTAGCAGTAGTAGAGGTAATAGCTAGAATAAGGCTAATAACCAAGTATGACTTAGCAAAAATCTTGCTTCATTAATATGAGTAAGAATCAGCACCGACTTTATTTTACTTTTCCCTTAGGGATATGATTTATAGCAAAATATGTTTTAAAGTATACACAACTTATACACTAAGCAACCTTTCCTAATTGGAGTTCCACTAGAAAATTAAACCCTACAAAAAATCATATGGATAACTATATCTATCAAGAATGGTATAGAGCTAGTATCATTCTAGATGCAAGGGAGAGAAGTTAATTCATAACATGCAATGAATGCTTTAGGGAATTTAATTTTCTTATGGGATGGGTTGAGAGGGGCTGCTCTCAAGCAAACCCTTTCTTTTATAATTCTTGCCATTAGTTTAAGTGTTTTCAAAAACAATCCAAAGATAGGAGTACCTGGCTGGCTCAGTCGGTGAACCATGCTCGAGCCCCATGTTGGGTGTAGAGATTATTTAAAATCTTAAAAACAACAACAATCTAAAAATAGTAATTCCTTATGGCTTTAGATATAATAATGGAATTAGGGATAATAGTATAAATGATCTTTTTAGTATGTAAATACTAAATATTATCATTTTTAAAGTATACTTAACACATTTGAAATCTGTAAAACATCAATTTTTTTTTTAAGATTTTATTTATTCATTTGACAGCACAAGCAGGGGGAGCAGCAGACAGAAGGAGAAGCAGACTCCCTGCTCAGCAGGGAGCCCAATGTGGGGCTCTATCCCAGGAGCCTGGGATCATGACCTGAGCCGAAGGCAGACGCTTAACCAACTGAGCCACCCAGGTGCCCCAAAACATTGGTTTTTAATAAATAACCTATAACCTGTTTCCATTAATATATTTTCTGCAATTTTTCATGACTTATATTGGAAAATATTTGTCATATATTTCTACATACTATGGCACAGAATAACTTAGGTGATTTATTTAATGCCACTGAGCAAATTACGACATTTCACAGAATCTAAGATACCATGAAAGTTACTACACATCATTATTATATCTGACACTAAAAAGAAAAAAGCATTGCCTATTATAAGATACCACTGATTATATAATGCAATCTGATTTTAAGAAAGGTCTTAAAATGTGAAAAATGTAGCATATTAAACTGAAAAATATATATATACATGCATACACACATATACGTGTGTGTGTATATGTACTACTGATGCCAGAATAAAAGCTAGGTCTCCTGACTCCCCCATCCAGTGTTCTTTTCTATTACCCATTGTGTAAAATAAGAATTGAGACTATAATCATAAAATTCAGAAAAGCTATTGTAAGATAGCTTATCTAGCATTCTTCCTATGCATGGTTCCATCACATTCTCTTCTTGTGTATTTTTGAGATGGTCTACAATACCAAAAGAGAAATAAATATGCTGAATTTTTAGTGGCAGTTTTTTGGGAGTTTTTGTTTAGTTTTGTTTAGGACAATGAGGTAGTGTATATGGCACACCATGAAATATACAAACTCCTGGAGAATATCTGGCATCTAAGGAAGAGCTTACTATAAAAGAAGTAACTTTAGGGGCGCCTGGGTGGCTCAGTCGTTAAGCATCTGCCTTCGGCTCAGGTCATAATCCCAGGGTCCTGGGATCAGGCCCCGCATCGGGCTCCCTGCTCAATGGGGAGCCGGCTTCTCCTCTCCCACTCCCCCTGCTTGTGTCCCCTCTCTCGCTGTGTGTGTCTCTCTCTTTCAAATAAATAAATCTTAAAAAAAAGGAACCTTGGGGAAAATATGAAAACACAAAATACACAGAGATAAGAATCGTAAATAGTACTATTATTATTGGGAGTGGTTTGTCAATTGTGTTAGATTTTACACCAGACCACACCTCAGGGTATTCAGGAACTTGTAAAGTTCCCTCCCACATACTCTGGTCTTCGCTACACGACTTGTTTAGGTCCACAGGACATTACCAAGTGTGATGCAAAACAGAAGCTTGATAAAAGTTTGCACACTGGAATTTTATCTTGGAATGCTAATTCTTGGAAGCCAGCTACCATGCTGTAAAGAAGCTTGGGCTAGACGACTAAATAATGCAAAGAAAAGTGGAGAGAAACCATCATATAAGAGGCCATCTTGTACATTCTGTCCTAGCTGAAGTCAGAGGTGAAGGCAGCAGTATGAATGACCTCAGCTACACCAAACAGATCAGAAGCACCACTACATAGTTAACCCACAAAATTTTGAGAAATAAGCTGTCATTGCATTAGACCTCTAAGTTTTAGGTGGTTTGCTACACAGCAATAGATAAGTGAAACAGAAATTTATTTAAAAAACTAATTCCCTTTAAAATTCATCAGTACCTCAAAATGCTCCTTGATAATGTAGGCATTTGCAATTTTAGCCTTGATGCCTTCATAATCTCCAACATCACTAATACAGATTGCATACCACTAAAAACAGAAGTAAAAAACATATAAGAATAATAATACTCCACTAAGGTTTCATTCAATACAAGGTAAAACTGAAAATTTATTCCTCAATAGTAATTCTCATTCAACAAAAACTTAGCATAAAAACTGTATTAAATATACTGTCATATACAAAGAAAAGTAGACATGGACCTTAAAGAACTCAAGGACATGTTTATAGAAAACTATAATACAAGATAAAGAACAGAGTCGCTAAGGAAGTTATCAGCACAATGGGGAAATAATGATTCGTGTTTATGACTGGAGTATAAATTTAGAAAAATGTGCAACTGAGTAACTATCATTTTATTTTCTCATCCTCTTTTCAGCAAGCTGCCTCTTCTCCCATCTGCACTGTTACAGAAATAACCCACATTTGTCAATTGTGACTTTGTCCCTGTAGCCATACTTAAGACAATACACCTAAACTGAGACTGAGTTTCACCCCGAAGGACTAAATCCAAAATATCCAAGCTTCAGAAACTCAAGTGCTGTAGAAAGTCACAAGACAGAATGAGAAAAAAAGAGTCCGTAGAGAAAAAGATTTGCAGGTAACAGCAAAGAGGAAAGACAATGGAACATCAGAGCAATTGAGCCAGTTTTTCCTGAACCAAAAGCACCCTGCCTTTAGGTTCTATGAAAGAGAGTAAGTAGTTCCTTATTAAAAACAACAACAACAACAACAAAACACCTCCCCTGTTTTTGTTTGAGCTTATTTGTGTGGGGTTTTAAAGATTATAACCAGAAAGATTTTTAACTAAAACAAACTTCTGTTTAAATCTATTCTCCACCAAAATTTTGGTGAGTTTATTGAAAATTAAAAAGTATACCTTAAAACACACATACGTGCATATGTGCGTGCGTGCACACACACACACACACACACACACACCCCTACTCTATAGGCGATGCTCACTTATCTCTACTGAGAGTTATCCAGTTGCCCAAATCCAAATGAGTAGAGGGGTCACACAGGGTTTCAAATTTGGTGTTCTGATCTTCTACCACATATCAGGACTCTGGGTAACATCACTTTTCTCTTATATATCTATCTTCTATATGCAAAGCAAACACAAGCTTATGGATGAATCCTAAACATTTTCTTCCCTGATTAGACTGGCAGTATTCTGAGATTTTTAACATATGTCAAAGACGTATCACAGTAATAGCACAAAGAGCAGTTATTAACACATGAAGTATATATCACTTGATGTGGACTATAAGTTAAAGATATACACTATAAAACTTAAAGCAACCACTAAAACAACATAATACAATTATAGCCATTAAGTCACTCAAATAAATAAAACGGAATCCAAAAAATGTCCAATACAAAAGAAGGCAGAAAAAGAAGAAAATGAGAACAGATGGAACAAACAGAGACTAGAAAGATAGGAAATTTAAAACAAAAAATATCATTAACCACATTAAATGTAAATGGTCCAAACATCCCAACTGAAAGCCAAATTGGATTAAAATTAAGACAGACTGACAGCGACGTAAGTGAAAAAAGGGAAGTAAAGAAATCTGAATTCTCTCCTCCATGAAAGCAATAAATAAAAATGAGCAACAATTATTAGAATCAATGTTTTTTTGGAACTCCAAAATTAACCTAAAGCTTGCAGTGACCTGGGAATGCTTATTCAAAGCAACAGATTATTCCTAATGAGAAAAGTGAACTTTTTATCTTACTCCAGTCCCATCCCATACTCCCAGTCTCAGTGGGAGCTGTGAAAACAGCCCTCCATTCCTGGTACCAAATGGAACAGATCTCATTCATGGAGAACTATAATTAATTATTTGTTTTGATCTGTTTCATGGCTCCCTGGAAGACTGGCCTTGTACATATTTCACCTAAACTGAAAAGGCCCTAGTGATAAAGGATAAAGCTGCTTCCTGGGGGCGCGTGGGTGGCTCAGTTGGTTAAGTGACTGCCTTTGGCTCAGGTCATGATCCTGGAGTCCCGGGATCGAGTCCCACACTGGGCTCCCTGCTCAGCAGGGAGTCTGCCTCTCCCTCTGATCCTGCCCCCTCTCGTGTGCTCTCTCTCTCTCATTCTCTTTCAAATAAATAAATAAATAAATCTTTAAAAAAAAAAAAAAAAAAAGGCTGCTTCCTGGGGGCGGTGGGGAGGAAGGTTAGGTAAAGAGATGTCCCTAAGGGCTCTGAAAAGCTTCAGTAAAGAAAAGCCAAAAGAGTATTTCATGACATATGAAAATTATGTTCAATTCAAATTTCAGTGCCCACGAATAAAGCTTTACTAGAACAACAGTCATGCTCATCACTTATGCATTGACTATAGCTGCTTTTGCTCAACATGGCAGAGCTGAATTGTGATGAGAGATCATATGTGATTTTTTTTTTAAAGATTTTATTTATTTGTCAGAGAGATAGTACAAGCAGGGGGAGTGGCAGGCAGAGGGAGAGGGAGAAGCAGGCTCCCGCTGAGCAGGGAGCCCGATGTGGGACTCAATCCCAGGACCCTGGGATCATGACCTGAGCCACCCAGGCGCCCAAATCATATGTGATATTTTAACTGATTTCCACTGCTGCTCCATAACCCTGTGAATCACACTGATAGGGTTATAACCTGACAGAATTTTGAGTGCCACGCATACTGCTATACCATGACATTTTATTTTTTATTGCCAATGCATATGTCAAAGGAAGAGAAAATAGACTTCAAATGTCATGCTTTGAAAGCATAGTAAAATGTGAATTATTTTGTTACTGAATTAAACAGCAAAGCATTTTAGGGGGGAAAAAAAAAGCTCCAAAATATCCCTGAAAATCCAAAAAAGACACACATGCTTAGGAAAGATCTGAGATGGCCCTAAGCTTACCACCTGCTGACCTTAAGGCTCTTCATAAACAGGAAGTGAAAGCTAGGTACAGTTTAAAACTGCCCAGCTAAGTGTTAAAGGTATGTCTCAACACATACACAGAGCCCTATGATCAACACTGGAAAACATTTGGGTTCCAGACATTTTATAAACTACCTGTTCAATCATTACCTGACCACTAAGCTAACAGAAGAGAGACTTCAGTGGCTATATATGACAAAGAAATCATTTGTTCAGAAAAGCCACTAAAGAAAAACAACAGAGGGGGCCTGGCTGGCTCAGTCAGTAGAGAATGCGACTCTTGATCTCGAGGTTGTGAGTTTGAGCCCCACACTGGATGTAGAGATTACTTAAAAATAAAATCTTAAAAAAGAAAAAAGAAAGAAAGAAATACTAAATAAGCAGCCACAACAAATTCTGGGAAAAGAGGGAATCTGATTTCCAGATTTACCATATTATAATAATCAACAGTTTTCAACAAAAAATTATAAAGCATGCAAAAAAATAAGAAGTATAATGCACACACAGGAGGAAAAAAATCAACAGAAACTATGCATGAAGAAGCCCAGATGCTGGGCATCCTAGACTTTATGTATGTTCAACAAGGAAATGATGTTTAAAAAACAAGTATACTATGAGAACAGTATCACATCAAATAGAGAATTATCAAAAGACAGAAATTACAAAATGGAACCAAAGAGATATTGTGGAGTTGAAAAGTACACAACACTGAAATGAGGGCTCAATGGTGGATGTGAATATGCAGAAGAAAGAATTAGCTAACTTGAAGATAATAGGTCAATTCATATTACACAGTAAAAGTAAAAAGAATGAAGAAAATGAAACCACCTCAGAGGCCTACCAAAATACACATAAGAAAAGTCCCAGGAGGAGAGAAGAGGAAAGGGGTAGAATGAATATTTGAAAACATAAATGCCAAAGGCTTCTCTACTTTGATGAAAACAAACCCCAAGTAAGATCAATTCAGAGATCCAAACTAGACACAGCATAATCAAACTCAAAGATAAAAACAAAGAGATGATCTTGAAAGCAGCAGGAAAAAAGTGCCTTGTCATGTACAAAGGGTCCTCAATAAGATTAACAGCCAAATCAGTACCATGGACATTGGTCTTAGTCTGCTTGTGCTACTAGAACAAAATACTAGGGTGGGCAGCTAAAACAATATAAATGTATTACTCACAATTTCTGGAGGCTGGGAAGTCCAAGATCAAAATGCCAGCTGATTTGGTCAGAATAAGGGGATGTGAACAGAGATACATAACAGCAAAGTTGGTATACTATTGAAATGTTAATTAATAAAATGAATGGTTTTCCTCAGGATAACCACTAAGAGTATAATTCAAAATATTTACTACAAGAAACAACAAGGGAATTAAAACGGTACAACAAAATAAACCTAATACTAAATAAAGGACACTAATGGAGGACTTGAGAAACAAAAGACCGGAAAAAAAAATTGCAAAAGAATTTCTTATTGTCAATTACATGTGAATGGGTTAAACTCTCCAAATAAAGGGCAAAGGTTAGCAAAATGTATTAAAACCCATGATTCAACTATATACTGTCTACAATACAATTAGATTCAGAGGTATATAGGTTTAAAGGAAAAAGAGGGAAGTTTTATCATGCAAACCGTACTCACAAGAGAGCTGAAGTGGTAGTAGATATTAATCAGAATTAGATAATGATCTAATAATAGACAAAACAGACTTTAAGACCAAAATTATTATATGAGACAAAGAAAAACATTATCAAGAACATACAACAATTATAAACAAATATACACCTAACAACAGAGCCCCAGAATAAATAAAGCAAAAACTGACAGACAGACTTGAAGGTATAAAGAGACAATTCAACTATAATAGTTGGGATTTCAATACTCCACTTCTAAGACTAGTCAGAAAATCAGCAAATAGAAGACTCAAATAATACTATATACTAATTAGACCTAGCACACATCTACAGAACACTCTACCCAACAAGAGCAGACTATGTATTCTTCTCAATTCACATGGAACATTTTCCAGGATAGACAATATATTAGGCTATAAAAAAGTCTCAAATTTTAAAAGACAGAAACCAGAGTATGTTCTCTAACCACAGCAAAATGAAAAT